TGCACCTGGAAAGAGAGAAGTGTATAGGAAAAGAGAGAATTTTGGGAAATGTTGAGTGAATGCGTGGGGAGTTTTGAATCAAGTGTGAGAGTAATGGTGGTTGGGGGTTTCAATGCTGAAGTGGGTAAAAATGTTATGGAAGAGTAGTAGGTAAATTTGGGTTGCAGGGGAAATGAAATGGGGACCTTAATTTGGCTATGTGTAGAAAGAAATTTGGTAAAAGTAATACATATTTTATGAAAAAGAGGATAAATAAATAACAAGGTTGAGTAGCACGTAATGAAAGTAGTTTTATTAGATTAAGTATGGGTGGATAAAAGGTTGATGGGTAGGCCTCCAGGAGTACATGTTTTTAGAGGGGCAACTGATATATCGGATCATTTTTAGTTTGTAGCTACAGTTAGAGTAAGAGGTAGATTGGGAAAAGAGGAAGGGGGCAACAACAAGTAAGAGGGAGGTAAAAAATGTATAAAAATAAGGAGGAGGAAGTTCGGGTGAGATATAAGCGACTATTGGCAGAAAGGTGGGCTAGTGCAAAGATGAGTAGTGGGGGGGGTTGAAGAGGGTTGGAATAGTTTTAAAAATGCAGTATTAGAATGGGAGGGAGAAGTTTGTGGTTATAGGAGGGTGGGGACAGGAGGAAAGAGGATGATTGGTGGAATGATGAAGTAAAGGGTGTGATAAAAAGAAAAAAGGTAGCTTATTGAGAGGTTTTTTTCAAAAACAAAGTGTTTATAAAAGAGCAGAGTATATGGAGAGTAAAAGAAAGGTAAAGAAGTGGTGAGAGAGTGCAAAAGGAGAGCAGATGATAGAGTGGGAGAGGCACTGTCAAGAAATTTTAATGAAAATAAGAAAAAATTTTTGGGGTGATTAAACAAGTTAAGAAAGCAAGGGAAAATATGGATTTGTCAGTTAAAAAAAAGAGTAGGGGAGTTAGTAGATGGGGAGATGGAGGTATTGGGTAGATGGGGAAATATTTGAGGAACTTTTAAATGTTAAGGGAAAAACAAGGCAGTAAATTTTATCACTGGTCAGGGAGTAACCATCTTTTTGGAGTGAAGAAGACAGAATGTAAGTGTGGGGAGGTACGTGAGGCATTACGTAAAATGAAAGGGGTCAAAAAACGTTATCTATGGAGGCAAAGAAGGGTATGTATGAAAGTATAGTAGACCAACACTCTTATATGGGTGTGAAGCTTGGGTGGTAAATGCAGCAGCGAGGAACGGTTGGAGGCAGTGGAGATGTCCTTTTAAGGGCAATGTTTTGGTGTAAATATTATGCAGAAAATTCGGAGTGTGGAAATTAAAGGAGAAGGTGTGGAGTTAATAAAAGTATTAGTCAGAGGGCAGAAGAGGGGGTTTTTGAGGTGGTTTGGTCATTTAAGGGGAATGGATCAAAGTAGAATGACATGGAAAGCATATAAATCTATAGGGGAAGGAAGGCGGGGTAGGGGTCGTCCTCGAAAGGTTGGAGAGAGGGGGTAAGGAGGTTTTGTGGGTAAGGGGCTTGGACTTTTCCCGCAAGCGTGTGGAGGCGTGTTAGATAGGAGGAATGGAGACGAATGGTACTTGGGACCTGACGATCTGTTGGAGTGTGAGCAGGAATATTTAGTGAAGGGATTCAGGGAAAAACCCGGGTTTTTTTCATATAGCGGACTTGAGTCCTGGAAATGGGAAGTACAATGCCTGCACTTTAAAGGAGGGGTTTGGGATATTGGCAGTTTGGGGATATGTTGTGTAATTTAAAATGTGTATGCTTCTAGGACTGTTTTATTCTGAGCACCTCGCAAAAACAGTGATAATGTGCGAGTGTGGTGAAAAATGTTGAATGATGATGAAAGTATTTTCTTTTTGGGGATTTTCTTTCTTTTTTGGGTCACCCTGCCTCGGTGGGAGACGGCCGACTTGTTGAAAAAAAAAAAAAAAAAATATATATATAAAACATTTGAGCAAGGGCAGAACCCCTTCCCTTTATATTACTAAATTTAAAAGGAAAACTTTATTTTTTTTTTTTGGGCCACCCCACCTCGGTGGGGGTCGGGTGGTAGTTGAAAGAAAGAA